GCCCTCCCTGTTCCTCCAGCACTGTCATCTTGAAGAGGCAGATTATAGAGAGATGACAAGACCCACTGCCCAAATCCCTCAACTTGTTTGTTTCCTTTCTAGGGATTGAAAGGAAACATGCCTCTACTTCAGCTGCCAGCCCTTCCTCTTTACTTCCTAGAAAGGCAACGCTGTGTGCTGTCTGCTGTGAAGGAAACCAAGTCAGATTCACCATCCCCATCTTAACTACTCGAGACCAACACCAAACTACAGAATTTCACATGGGTTATTTTGGGAGTACTATTTGGAAACAAAGCCATAGAATCAGTTGGGATGGAAAAGACCTTTAGGATCAAGTCCAACCATTCCCCAGCACTGCCAAGGCCACCACTAACGCATGGCACTGAGGCCTTATCTCCACACTGTGTGAACACCTCCAGGGATGGTGACTGCAGCCCTGCCCTGGGCAGCCTGTTCCAATGCCTGAGCACCCTCTGGGGCAGGAATTGTTCCTCAGCTCCATCTAAACCTGCCCTGGTGCAGCTTGAGGCCGGTTCCTCTTGTCCCATCCCTTGTTCCTTGGGAGCAGAGCACAGCCCCTCCTGGCTCCATCCTCCTGTCAGGCAGTTGGAGGCAGCCATCAGGTCCCCCCTGAGCCTTCACTTCTCCAGACTGAACCCCCCAGGTCCCTCAGCCCTTCCCCATCACACTTGTGCTCCAGGCCCTGTACTGGCTCCACTGCCCTGCTCTGATAATACCTTCAGACCAACACAAGTTCACTTGACCAGCTCAGTGCACTCTGGGTCTTTTCCTTAGCCAAGTGAACATCAGCAGGATCCACAGGCAACATCACTGCTTTGGGCTGTGCAGGCAGTGCCACATTCAAGTTGAGGGATCCCAACAAAGATCCCTACCAAAGCTGCACTAAAACCCCACCAGCTGAAGTTCTCAATGAAGATTCTCCCTGTGGCCTCTTGATCTTTGCCAGCATCCGCCTCTAATCTAACAGCACTCATAAGTGCTTCCTGCCCCTGTGCAAAAAAATCAGCTTTTAATTGCAAACAAGAAGCCATTATTACATCTGCACAGAAACATTATTCCTGGTAACAGCAGCATCCTCCAGCAATGTTCTGTAACTCAGACCCCCAGTTAAGGCCAACAAATCCATTAGCTTCTTGATCCCAACCAATTTTTTTCCAGCACGGGGGCAGGGGAGGTCACCAGTAACACACTGGGGCAGTATCCTCCTCTATGACAGCTGTACAGTAACACCAAGGCAGCAACAGTTAAAGAAAGCAAGCAGGAAGTGCCTTTTGGGAAGTGGGGAACGAAGAATAAAGGTGTCACCTGAACACCATGTATAGGATATGCCAGGTTTCATTTCTCAGTCACCCAGAGTGACACAGTGCTGCAAACCTGGGTATGCAGAAGGGAGACAGTTCTCAGCACCCCCCTCCAGAAGCACTTGTGGCATTTACTGCACAGTCCTTTGACTCCAGCTTGCTTTGACATTTACAGCCTTCGGCTATTAACCTTCATCATGAAACACAGTTGTAATAGTTGTAATGAACTTCACAACTAGCATTATGATTGATACATATACTGAACACTTCTGACCTATTGACTTGTTTACTTTTCATTTTCAATCCAGTCCTTACTAATCACCCCGTTAGTTTACTGATAAGCTGTCAGGAAGCATTCCAGAAGCGTTTCTTCACTGAGCTCTGCTTTAAGGGTCTTGGAGTAAGGCCTTGGAAGGGCAAAAACCCCAAACCCACAAAGCAAACCAACAAAAAAAAAAAAATCATAAATACCAAGAATATTCTGGAGCTGCACATAATGGATGAAAAGTCCAAATATTACCAAGGGCCAAACAAAGCCAGTACCCCAGGGAGACAGAGGTGAACAGAGTCAACTAACTAAATGTGGGACTAAATCAAATGAGTTTAAGCCTTAGAACAAGTGTTTATTAAAATGAGCCAAGCACTTAAGCAGATGTTCCAGTTTCTTTTAAGATAGAAAGTCTGCTTGTAGCTCTCACTGATGCTCTGACTCAACGAGTCACTATGCAGCTGCTCTGCCAAGAGCCAAGGAGCAACTCTGGACTGTTCAGCACAGACACTCATTTAACATTGGCCAAGGAAGGGACAGGGTCAAAGGCAGCATCAACGGTGTTGCCATCCCTGACTCCATAGAAAGACCGTGATACAGCAGATGTTGCAATTAGTACTTCAGAACCACAGGAAAAAAAGCAAGCTTTATCTTATTGGTTTATTTTAAGCGCTTGAACACATTCTTTCCTGGCCCGCTAGGTTGATATTAGATTCCAAAAAGACATTTTGCATTCCTAGCACTCTTGAGCTTCAGCTTTTAAATAACAGCAGAGCCTCTTATTATCATTTTTAATACGCAGCAAGTTAAAACAAGACATATGCTTATTCATACAAGCAATTAAACAACCATCATTCAGCAAAGTTGGGTTTTGTAATCTCTCCTCAGCTCGAACAAGCCATTTGATACTATTCACTGTATCAGTTGAACATGTCTGAGGCAAGCGCTCTAACAAGCAGCATGAGCTCAGCACCCAGAGTTGCCATTTCGCATTCTATTTTTGAAAGATGCTTGCAGAATTATTTCCATAGAGGAATTTTTTATTATTTGTTTTCTGACAACAGAGCTCTTGACCTGTACACAGCACGGAAAAAGACCCTGAACTAACCTAAACACCAGGGACATGGGTATTTAGGCCCTCAAAATGAGAGACAAGACCCACTTCCTCTGTTCCAAGGAGGTAAAGGAATGGGAATCATTCCAGTTCAGCTGAATTAACACCATAATGAATATAATAATTAGTACTTACATAGATGAGCCCAGAGTAATACCGATCCTTTAAATTATGCAATACAGAGGCTTCATTTAAACAGGTTAATTCTGCCATGTCTTCCACTTTAGAGAACTTGGGAGGATTCATCTTCTGAATATCGTCTTTATTGACTAGTGCTTTCTTGCCATTCTCTGCCAGTTCGACCAACACTTCATCCCCTTTCTCCTCCTTGATGCTGGCTGCCTCAAACCCATGGCGCTCAGAAGGGATCCACACCAACTTTTTAGCAGTCCAGTCAGCCTGGGTGGCAGGGTTGTAGATCACAGCCCTGTCCACAAAGAGGTATCTCTCGGGATCTTCCTGTCCAGACCTCTGTGCCATGGTCGGAAGGGAGGGTGTACACTATCAGTTACCCTGTAAATTGGAGAGGGAAAAAGCAAAGGATATGTTACTGACTGTATTTACCAAGGACATGACTGAACCTACGGCACATCAATGAAATGATCTATCCCCAAGCATCATTCATTTCTTGTACAGCCTAAAGAACATACTATACAAGTGAGACCCCCTATTCACACAGCAGCCCTCTGAATAAACTGCCACACAAAAGATAACATGATCTGTCATGTATAACCCCAGGCCCAGTACAGTAAACTCGGTATAAAGTGGTTCTAATCTCGCACCAACCAGGGAGAGACACTACAACGAAGGCAAGAGCTACAAGCAGGAAAAACACACACCTGTCTTCTGTGCCATAGGAAGAAAAGCAAATCCAACAAAAGCTTGTTCGGAAGCTCAACTTCAACTGAACACTTCAAAAGCCAAATATAAAAACATTAAAGACATTGAGTGGATAGCTACAGTAACAAGAAGGAGGCAGGAAGATGTTTTAAAATGTGGATTTTCAGCTACAGACAAGAACTTGAGACACTTGGGGTTTCCCACAAGCCACAGAGGTGGCAAAACCTTGCTCCCAGTCTTCCTGAAAAGCTTCACTTTGTATTCCTACAGCCTGCTCCTGTTCTCGGTCGTGAGCACCGACATCACCACATTCCCAAAGAACATCTCCAGATCTCAAGTGCTCCGTGAGGCTCAAGACACAGCAAGGACATTAGATTTTAGCCAACAGCTTCATGGGCAATTTGAAGGAGAAAGAAAAACTGCTGACAACTGCTCCTGCGCACCCATTGTACCTGCTCACCTCTGTCTAAGAGACACCACTGCACCTTGCATTAGTGCTCCCATCACATCCAGGATTCCTGGAGTGAGCAGTTTCACCCGTAACCGCCTGAGGAGCGGCAAGGTCAGGCCTGACACTCGGTACGCAGGTTATTAAACATGCTGGGGTTTACACACTAGATGTTTTCCTCGGAAGCACGTTACATTGGCTAATGGCAGCCTCCTCCTGCAGCTAACCTGGAGGGGAGCTTCAAACGCAAGGAAGGTTTCGCAAACCAGGCTCGTCATCTCTCACAGCGTGGTATGTGCCCTGATGGCAGCTCAGCAACACACCCATGCTCAGGAGGCTGTGTAATTACACACAATAGCTGTGTCTCCATCTACACAGGGACACTGGATACACTGTTCAACTTGAATGCAAAGTAAGCATAAAGTCACCGCAGCCTCTGGAGGCTTGAGGAGCAGCAGACCGTTTCCTACAGCCGGCTTCATTCAAACCCAGAGGTGATGACTCAACAGTTAAAGTATTTTACAGGAGCCTCGGAGAGAACAATCCACCAAGAAGGAGGGAATCTTTGAGGGGACACCTGAGGTGGTAGCTGGGCTCCCCAGCCAGGATAATGAACATATTAGTGAAGGGATGCTACATTGGGCTCAAGAAGCCCCACAGTGAACACCCGAGCCCCCCGCCCCAGTGCAGAAAGCCGTTTGTCTCCACGGTGCGAGACCGCAGCTGAAATTCCAACAAAGACCCGACACACCACCGGTGCCAAGCCTGGGGAAGCTCCCTTCACACGGAGCACAGAGCTCGGCCCAGCCTTGCACAGGGAGATGCAGTGATACCCGGAGGTCACGCACAGCGCACACCACTACATTAACCATTCTTCTTCCCCAGCAGAATCAGAGGTGAGGACCAGAATGAAGGCGGGGACCGGCTCCAGGCCGCACACACCGAGCACCGGGGTCACACACAGCTCGGGGTCATTCCCCCACTTCGCCTTTTAACCGCACAGAGCCCATGACAAAAGACCCTGTGCAGCCGGGAAGCGAGGCGCAGCTCACCCGAACGCAGGGCTGCGCTGCCAACAATGGCATTCAAATCCAACACCCAAACGAGCACATTGCTCATGCAGGAATCCTGCGCTCCCGACACACGGCGGCTGCAAGGGGGGAACCTACAGATGTGCGGCTCCTGCACACAAAGGGGCGCGGGGCGGGGACGGATCCCCGCGGCCCTCCCGCCCGCTCCCCAAGGACAGAGGGGCCGGTGCCGCCACCGCAGGACAAAGGAGGCGGCCGGAGCGGGTCGGCCCGGCCCGGCGGGCACCGGGAGCGGCGCATCCGACCCGACCCCCCCACCCCATACTGCGGCCGCGCGCGCCCCCCGCCCGGCCCCGCCCCACCCCGCCGGCGCGGGACGCTGCGGGAGAGGCAGAAAATGGCCACCACGCCGCCCCGCACCGCTGCGGGGGGGAGCGCGGGGATGCGGCGCGGAGATGCTGCGGCGGCGCGGCCCGCACAACGGAGCCTTTGTGTGCCGGGCCCCCCCCCCCCCCCCCCCCCCCACCGCGGGCGGGCCCGGCCGCGCGCCCCCGGGGAGCGCCCCCCTCCCGCAGCCTCCCCGCCCCGCTCCGCTCCGGCCGCCGCGGGCAGCCCGGGCCCGCCGCCTACCTCCGCCTCACCTGGGTCGCGCCCGGCCGCCGCCGCCGCCGTGCCCCGCAGCTCCCGCCGCCCGCTCGCCGCGCGCCTTTAGCGCCACACCGAGCCCTCCGCCCCCCGCGCGCCGCCGCCGCCGGCACCGCCCCCGTCTCCCGCCGCTCTCCCATTGGAAGGCGGTCACGTCCGTTCTCCCCGGCGCGCTCGCCCATTGGTCCGTGGTGCGGCCGCTCTGCAGCCACGGCCATAGCAACCTCCACACGCTACCCTCCAAACCCCGCCTCCCAGCTTCTCCCCGCCTCCTTCTGTGCTCACTGGTGGGACCCGCCCTCCCGGCGGCCCAGCGCCCTTCTCTCATTGGTCAGTCTCAGCGCCGGTCAGAGCGGGCCCCGCCCCGCGCTGCAGCACGCCTGGCGGGGGGCGCGGCGCGGCCCCGGCTCTGCAGCGGGCGGCGCGCGCGGTGGTGCAGCGGGCGGCGGCCGCGCGCGTCCCCTCACCCACCCACAGCCCCCCCTCAACCCCCCACGCCCCGCCGGCGGGGTTTTGGGGCAATAAAAGAGGTTTTCGGGTCTCCGCCGACGTGAGCGGTAACGGGAATCCCGGCCGCGGGAGGCGGGCACTGCCCGGCCCCGGGCCCCGCTGCGGGCCGCTCACGCTCGGCTGAGGGGGGGGCGCCGGGCGGATGGCGGCGCAGCGCGAAGCGCCTGGACCCGGATCCGCACTCACGGGAGCTCCGGCGCTGCCGCGGGAGCCGCTCGCAGCGGTCATTGCCCGGGTGGTCATTGACAGGCAGCCCGCACCGCCAGCCCCAGCGAGAGCCGGCACCGCCTGCTCCTGCCCTAGGGCCGCCCCGCAGCGCCCGCAGCTCCCACAGCACCCACTGCTTCCACGGCACCCACAGCCCCTATAGCTCCCTACAACCCACAGCTCCCTACAACCTCCACAGCTCCCTACAACCTCCACAGCTCCCACAGCTCCCTACAGCACCCGCAGCTCCCACAGCACCCACAGCTCCTCACAGCACCCACAGCTCCCTACAGCACCCGCAGCTCCCACAGCTCCTCACAGCACCCACAGCTCCTCACAGCACCCACAGCTCCCTACAGCACCCACAGCACCCACAGCTCCTCACAGCACCCTACAGCACCCACAGCACCCACAGCACCCACAGCTCCTCACAGCACCCACAGCTCCCTACAGCACCCACAGCTCCCACAGCTCCTCACAGCACCCACAGCTCCTCACAGCACCCACAGCTCCCTACAGCACCCACAGCACCCACAGCTCCTCACAGCACCCTACAGCACCCACAGCACCCTACAGCACCCACAGCACCCTACAGCACCCACAGCTCCCTACAGCACCCACAGCTCCCACAGCACCCACAGCTCCTCACAGCACCCACAGCTCCTCACAGCACCCACAGCACCCTACAGCACCCACTGGCTCCTACAGCACCCACAGCTCCCACAGCACCCACAGCTCCTCACAGCACCCACAGCACCCTACAGCACCCACTGGCTCCCATAGCACCCACAGATCCCCACAGGACCCACTACACTTTCTCCTTCCTTGCACCCCATCCCCAGGCTCCGGGAGCCCTCGCCCGTGTGCCAGCAGGGTTCTTGGACGAGGCGGGCAGGCAGGAGCATCCATTCGCAGCATCCCTGAGGACTGGGATCGGCTCTGGGGAATTCACACCGATTGGGTGTGGGTTACACACCCTTGGGGGGTGCTGGTCTGTGGCCTCCATCGCTGCCACCACCTGGGGTTGAGGGAGGGATGCTCCCCCTCCACTGACCCTGGTGAGGCCACATCTGGAGCACTGTGTCCAGTGCTAGCTCCTCAGGACAAGAAAGACAAGGAGCTGCTGGAGAGGGTCCAGAGGAGGCCACAACGATGCCCATGGGTTTGGAGCATCTCTCCTATGACAAGAGGTAGCAGGAGCTGGGCCCGGTTTGTCTGGAGAGGAGACCTCATCGATGCAGAGGAGTATCACAAAGGCAGGTGCCAAGAGGATGGGGCCAGACTCTTCAGTGGTGCTCAGCGACAGGACAAGGAGCAGTGGTACATCCATCCTCCAGGGAATGGGCACAACCTGCTCACTCCAGCCCCGCACGTGAGCAGTAGCTGAGAGCATCAAGGGTTCCCATCGCTGTGGGTTTCATTCCTGCACCCAGACCAAATGCAAGGGGCTCAGGAGGGATATTTCAGTGGAAGGCAGATCCTTCTGAACAGGACTGAGAGCAGGGTGAGGAGCAGATAGAAGTGGCAGGAGGAGCATCAAGCATGGCATGGGGTGAAGCTGTGTTGGGGGATCCCAGGAAGGGCTGGGGATGGAAATAAGGATGTCTCCCCTTTCCCCTCTGCTTTTAAGGACTACCTGCACAAATGGAAGTGTTTCAAAGCAGCACCTGCCATTCCAATACCACTTTGCTTGGTTCAAAAAGGGAGGTGAAGAGTTGGGGAACTGGGCTCCCAACATGGAGCTGGAAACCCTTCGGTCACCTCTGCTCATCTCCACACCCAGATCAGCTCATGCGCAACTCCTGGCGCTTGGATTTCTATGAAAGTCACCCTCTCAATTACCATGTCAGTGGGAGGCCTCGCACATCCTGTTCCACTGAAAACCCAGGGTGTTGACGGGCAGAGGGAGATGAAAGCCAGAGGCTGAACTGGTTACTCCCGCCTGGTTTTTGCTTTGCAAGGACGGCCACTCCCGGGGAGCAGAGCGAGGCCAGCACCGAGGCTTTGGGGTGCAGGTACTCGGTGTGCCGCATCTCCCGGGGTGCACTGGTTCCCTTGCTCCACCACCAGGTCTCCACCAGTGCTCACAGAGCGGTGCCAGGGCTCTGTTGGAGCACCCTGAGGAGCGCACCGGGATCCGCATCGTGCAGCAGTCACAGTCACCCTTGGGGCGGTGAGCCCTCGGGGTGCTTCAGCACCCATGCCTCGACACCCTCACGCTCCGGGGCAGCACCTCCACAACCTTCAGGCTGCAGTCACAGACATTCCACTTTTAGGCATACAGGATCCTTTAAAATAAAGAGAGAAACACTGTACAGCAAACGTTATTCTAGAGAGGAGCTGTTTGAGAGTTTAGGTTCTTTTAGAAAATGATTTCCATGGAAAATCTTTGAGGATCCTGCAGATGCCATGGGGAGTGTGTCAGGGTTATAGCACGGAGTTAGTATTTTTATCACACAATTATTTTTATCCAGGCTGCTGTTATAGGAAGGAATTCCCCAAATCCACTCAATGGCTTTAACCCATAGAAGGAAAGATGATATTTGCCTCTTCCCCAGGGGAAGCAGAAAGAGCAGAGACTGGAAAGAGCTGAAAGAAAGTCTTTCATAAAGGATTTTTATTGGAAATAGAAACTCAGCTGGACCCTAATCCTGAAATTGTTTCCCTGCCTTTAAACAGAAGGTTAATGATACCATTGCTACTAGGGCATGCATGTGCTTCAAGCAAAGCATGCCCCATGGGTGTTTCCAGAGCTGGAACTCAAGCAGGTAAATAAGAACAGCTTGGGCTTAAAGCAGTGCTTGAGATTTTTAAAACAATGTGGACAATTTAGGAAGAAATGTTCCATTTGTTTCTAATTTAGAGGCCTTACTACTGGTAGCCTGTATTGGAAAGCTCATCCCCATGCTGGGGGATGCGTGCCTCCATCCCCACTCTGGTTTGGACATTGCTGGGCAGAACGAACTTCTGCACAGGGAGAACACACAACCAACATCCAACTGCTGTTTATTCTGTCCCGTGTCCCTACCAGCACCCACAAAGAAGCCGAACAACCCCTGTTCCTTGATTATTTGGCACCTTTGCTTCCTGCAGAGACTGGAGTCCTCCTCCCTGTCCTGCCCCCTGACTGCGGCAGGCTTTGGGCACAGCTCCAACACTTAGAGCCAGCTCTGGCCTCCCCCAGGAGCCCACGTCTCTGCAAATCAGGACATCCTGGCATCTTTCTGGGTCATGTTTTTTCTCCATAGCTTCAAGTACTGAACCATACTGAGCCAGGCGTTAAATGTTTAAATGCAGGAGCTGCATATGCACAGACATGGTCTGTGTTTAGAGGTGACGAGGGGACACATGAACACAATCCACGTGGATTCAGTTTCCAGTTCACATCCTGACTTGCTGTGGCTTTGGGTGGCCACGGTACCTTCCCTGCCCTTGCTCACCCTGCAAAGGGATGAGGCTTCATTATGCCCATTTGCCATGACAGGGATGAGAGCACATTTGATGTATGATGTCCTTTGACACCTTCAGAAGGAAGGTGTGAGGAAAAGGTAGGATTGCTCATGTAATAACTGCCTGCTTTGTTGCATGGGATTAAACACAGAGAAGTGGAGGAATAAAAGAAAAATTATTCCACAATAAAATTGCTTTATAGTAAACATTTCTATGGGAGAAGCTTGAAAGGAATTGGAAATTCATGCCTCATGCTTAATGCTGGTGTTTCAAAGCTTTCCAAGATGTAATAAATTACAGTAAGATGGGGTTACGCTTATTTCTTGAAGCATGCTGCTCCCCAGGGTCGCACCATTTGTTTTATCTCACATGGCAATAGGAAACATTCTGAGACAGGAGGTGTTCTCCAGGGCACTGCAGAGGGATCAGCACCAAATATGAGCTTCATCATCTCACCCATCGTGTATTTTAGTCCTGGATAGTTTAAAAAGTTAGCTAAATCAGGCATGGAAAGTCTGCTCCTTACTCACAAAGGGGGATTGCACAAGGGTTGGTTGGACAGGCTGCTGTGAACTGATGTCACATCAGCAAAAATAGCCACCTCTGCAGCAAATGAGCTGAGATCAGAGCAGAGAGCGGGAGCTTTGCATCCTCCCAAGCAAGCCTCCAACATCCACGCGCCCATTCTCTATCATGTGGTGCTGGAAACCAAGGCACTCCATGGAACGTCTCAAGCTTCCTCGAACAGGAAGGGCTGAAGCAGCGAACATGGGATGAGATCCATCTCTGATCACCCTGCTGCCATCACGTAGGAGCGAGACCTGGATGCACACAGAGGACCTGTGCTCCCCACTCCTGGTTTCCTCTCTTCCTTTCCCTTTCCTCCACCCGTCACACTGG